AAAGAGTCCTCTCCTGATGATGTTCAGGTGTATATCAGTATGTAGTGTCTCTACTTTAAAGAGTCCTCTCCTGCTGATGTTCAGGTGTATATCAGTATGTAGTGTCTCTACTTTAAAGAGTCCTCTCCTGCTGATGTTCAGGTGTATATCAGTATGTAGTGTCTCTACTTTAAAGAGTCCTCTCCTGCTGATGTTCAGGTGTATATCAGTATGTAGTGTTTCTACTTTAAAGAGTCCTCTCCTGCTGATGTTCAGGTGTATATCAGTATGTAGTGTCTCTACTTTAAAGAGTCCTCTCCTGCTGATGTTCAGGTGTATATCAGTATGTAGCGTCTCTACTTTAAAGAGTCCTCTCCTGCTGATGTTCAGGTGTATATCAGTATGTAGTGTCTCTACTTTAAAGAGTCCTCTCCTGCTGATGTTCAGGTGTATATCAGTATGTAGTGTCTCTACTTTAAAGAGTCCTCTCCTGCTGATGTTCAGGTGTATATCAGTATGAAGTGTCTCTACTTTAAAGAGTCCTCTCCTGCTGATGTTCAGGTGTATATCAGTATGTAGTGTCTCTACTTTAAAGAGTCCTCTCCTGCTGATGTTCAGGTGTATATCAGTATGTAGTGTCTCTACTTTAAAGAGTCCTCTCCTGCTGATGTTCAGGTGTATATCAGTATGTAGTGTCTCTACTTTAAAGAGTCCTCTCCTGCTGATGGTCAGGTGTATATCAGTATGTAGTGTCTCTACTTTCGCCCTCTAAGACACAGGGATTTTAGCCTCTGCAGACCATTTACATGCACCAAAACCTACAGAGAAGGGCATAATAGTGCTTCTTTAAACACCATGGCTCAATGAAAGCGTCTGAAATGTAAACTGACAACAATAGTTGGTTTGCCAATATTGATATAACCCTTCAGCCACTAACTCTTTATTATAATTGAAGTGTCACTCTGTTTTTCTTGGAGTTATTTCTAAACTTTGGGAGCAATAAAGAAGACTAACAAGCGTGTAGCGTATCAATCCAACCCCAAACTGTCAGGCTGCCGCTAAGCACTCTGGGTAATACTCCTTATCGGATGATGTTTATGGATTTCACTTTTTCAGCCTGAAGAGTTTTCGCTCTCTTCCCAGAAAAACAGACGACACTTTGATATCATCTTTACCCGGGCATTACTAAATACTTTGGATGTTCCTCCAACAGTTTTTCAATTTATTAGGAGACATTTTCTATTTTTAAATCAAAACAGGAACGCCTGCATGTCTGTGCTTCTGGATTCTGATTATTAAGACAATGGCTTTATGCGATGATAAATGTAAACGCCGCCATGAAAGCTTTGAGAGTATTGCAGTTTTATGAAAGGGAGGGATGTGGCATGAAGATTGGATTAGTATTCTCTTTATTTGTCTGGAATATGTGAGAGCTTCAGGGGGCAAGGAGTTGTTTACGCCTCTGAATGTGTGGCTTTAGCCGGCAGATGAACTTTCAGAAGGTGAGATACAAAGAGTAGCCTGTGGTGGTGGGAACATATTGATCCAGTCAAATCCCCAGATCCAGGAAAAGTGTTTTCAGAATCAGAATCAGAATAGCTTAATTTGTCGCACAGAGAGAAAATGTACATTTGTAACAGCAGAAAAGAGCTTAGTGTTAACTAAGAAACATGCATACATAAATATTAATGATAAACACAATTAAATAAAAGGACACAATTTACAAAATACACATCCTGTAACAGTTCTGAGGATTTAGCAGACACGTATATATTGCACATATTCAGAGATGGCAAAAGTACGCACATCCTTTACTCAAGTAGAAGTACATATACTCGTGTTTCTAAAAGTAGAAGTACTGACTAAACTTCTTTACTCAAGTAGAAGTACAGATACTCGTGTTTAAAAATACTCTGGTGAAAGTAGAAGTACTGACTAAACTTCTTTACTCAAGTAGAAGTACACATACTCGTGTTTAAAAATACTCTGGTGAAAGTAGAAGTACTGACTAAACTTCTTTACTCAAGTAGAAGTACACATACTCGTGTTTAAAAATACTCTGGTGAAAGTAGAAGTACTGACTAAACTTCTTTACTCAAGTAGAAGTTCAGATACTCGTGTTTAAAAATACTCTGGTGAAAGTAGAAGTACTGACTAACCTTCTTTACTCAAGTCAAAGTAAAGAGGGCTTTGAAATGTACTTCAGTAAAAAGTACCCATAACTAGCAGCTGTTTTAAAGAGTACCTGACCTCCCTTTATATTAATAGAACAATAATGTCATTGTTAGCTAATGAATGTTTCCATGCTGAACAACGGCAACATGACAACGTTTTCATTGGTCCCTCTTCTTTAGAGAAGACCAGGAAATGATGGATACACGGATCGTGTTCAAATCAATAGGCACGCAATGACTCTAAATAATAATGATCACGTTCAAAATGTAAGAAGTAGAAAGTCGTGGAGTAAAGATACTGATACCAGAAACATGTACTTCAGTACAGTAACAAAGTATTTGTTCTCCACTACTTCCCAGCTCATATTGCACACAGTTGGTGGTTGTTTTTAATTAGCGTTCCTCTTGCCACGAGGTTATTTTCTGTGTCTCTTTGACTCGCTGCCAGTCTGCTTCTCAGCTCTAAGTCGAGAACAAAGTCAGCGACATGAGAGTCATTCGGGGTTGAGACACGCTGTGACAACTTCCAGTGTTCAGCGTGAGGCTTTGCAAATGTGTTGTTTTTTGGCTCAGTACTCCGGCACACTGGATTTGAAATGAAACTGTGACGGTGAGCTTTAATTTGAGGATGTTTCAGACGCCATTGTTACATTCCAAATCCAATTTTCTGGATCAGGCAACGAAAACAGCCCAAAAAAAAGGAAAGTGTGTTTGGATAATAATATTTTGCCGCCGTCCAAATACTAATGGATTATAGTTTAGATTATTATAGTGTAGATTATGATCTTAAAGGGGCACTACAGTGATTTTACACATGCAGATCAGCCTGTAAAACACTTATATAATGTCCATTCAACACAAAGTCCTAATTAATACAGTGTCATGAAAGACTGGACCGTGCGTTAAGGGGTCAAATGCATCTAGATTAAGCATAATTAACCATACTTTTAAATATATAAGAGTATGTGGGAAACACTGCCACACTTCAGGGGTCTTTTCTTTTTGGAGGTGCCAGACTTCATCACCCGGCAGTCTCTGGGTGTTTCATATTAATGTCTGACCCTCATTTTTAACTTGCGAGAGTGGATGTTCACTTTGTTTAACCCCAGGATCACTTAAGGGCACATTATCTAATCAACCGTGCCACTCTCTGTGCTGCACGGCTCTCATTTTCTCATTACTTTGAACCATAAGAAAGCACTGCTGCCTGTTCCCATCTGAGCTGTTTTAAAGCGCTGACCAGATCTTACAGAAAGTACTTCAACTTTTAGCTGAAAGTACTTCCCACGTGAGTTAGTTTAGAGCTGTGAGCTACAGGATAACATGCCCCCAGTGGACGTGAAGCATCAGTATGCTAATGCTGATGTTTGCTACCTTCAGCTGCAGTGTGGTGCAAAATAACTTTAAAATGCACTCGAATTTGAACCTGGAAGTACAGAGGTTAACACTTGATAGATAATGCAGAAGAAGCACCTGAGGGCGAATATACAGAAAGGAAAAAGTAGTTTCCAGTCAGTTTTGTCAAAAGATTAAAGTTCTTAAACAGATAGGAAGCAGCAAAGCTTCTGATAATACAAATACATCACCAAGTATAGCCTCCTCCACCTGTTGGAGAGCACTGCAGATCTATTTATTTAAGTCTTTGAAACTTTGATTCCATTGACGTCTTATTATAAAAGTCTATAAGGCCGGGAGGGATTTGTTTTGCGGGAGATTTGGAGGATTGGCTCTAATAAGGGAGATCCTCCGCTGAGTCCAGGCGTTGTGGATTAAGACTTATCTACGTGTTGGAAACCCTCCAACCGGCTGCGGAGGAATTCACAGACCTTCGGGTGGTTAGAAAATAATTGTGTTGGGGTGAGAAAGCTCTTGTTTACTGGACTATACCTTGGGTCGTTGCTACAAACTCCATGTGTGTTTATAGGGAAGGTTCATCTGGCGTCTTCTCAGCAGAATACTGAGTGTTAGGGAATAATTTGCTTAGGTATTCAACCTTTGACACAGTTCATCCTTTTCTCCTTTCACTGTCTCTTTCCCCATGGCATAGGTCTACGGCCTTGGGTATTGCTGCTGTCTCTCTTAAGGGGGAGGAGCTTGGGTATTGCTGCTGTCTCTCTTAAGGGGGAGGAGCTTGGGTATTGCTGCTGTCTCTCTTAAGGGGGAGGAGCTTGGGTATTGCTGCTGTCTCTCTTAAGGGGGAGGAGCTTGGGTATTGCTGCTATCTCTCTTAAGGAGGGGCAGCTTGGGCGCATCGTTGTTGCCAGTCTATGACCAAGCACAAGCTGACCTGAGATTTGTGTTTGCCATCAAAGCTCCAGCTCTCCTCGTGTTTCTCTGAGTCCTGACTCCAATTGCTTCAGAAGTTTCCCCCACACTGAGAATATTCAAGATTCAAAGGTTTTATTGTCATATGCACATAAGCTACAGTGTAGAAATGGCAATGAAATTCTTCTGACCTGAGCTCCTCCAACAATGCAACTTATATAATAAAATACAAATAAAAGATCTATATCCATGTAAATAGAATATGATATGTACAAGAACAGAATATGAAATTAAATAATGTACATTAGATACGGTTTATTGCTGTGATTTAGATAAATAAGTAGATTGCAAGACGACAAACAGAGAATATGAACTGACTCGACCTCTGTGTCTTCCCATATGAACCTGAATTGCTAACAGTGTGTTCCCTCTGCTGTGTGTGTGTGTGTGTGTGTGTGTGTGTGTGTGTGTGTGTGTGTGTGTGTGTGTGTGTGTGTGTGTGTGTGTGTGTGTGTGTGTGTGTGTGTGTGTGTGTGTGTGTGTGTGTGTGTGTGTGTGTGTGTGTGTGTGTGGCTGCCTCAGCAGAATCCCTGTTCAGCGGCCTGGGGCTGGGCACGGTGGTGGGGCTGGGCCTGGGGGCGCTGCTGGTCCTCCTGGTGCTGGTGGACGTGGGCTGCTTCTTCCTACGTCACTGCGGCCTCCTGATGTGCATCACACGCTCCGTCTGCAGCAAGAAGACCTCCACCAGCGGCAAGGGGAAGGAGATCGAGGAGGGGAAAGCCGCCTACCTGTGAGTGTCCTCTTCCTTTCTCTCTCCTGAAGTAGATAATGGTGATCTCTATTGTGTTCGTCAGTCACCAGGTCATTCATGCTTGCAGAGGGAGCATCTGCTGTGGGTGTATCTGATGCCTTTCTTTACTTACTTACTACTGACTTTAACCACTATTTCTGCTGTTTAATTCTGTGTAACAATGAACTGAAACACCTGAAATGATCGATAGAAATCTATACTTAGCATAGATGAAATTAAAACCTTTACAATTCTCAGAAAAGGAGAACAAGTTGGATTTTAATATCTTTAAAACGTGTCACAAATTAGTCGTTTTCCATCCTTTGTGCTCTCAGATTAAGCCGCACCGTAGAGAGATCTTTATCATGTGCAGCTCAGAATCATCTTAAACATATTCACTGTGAATGAGAAAGGAGACTTATTTCTATCATTTACTGTAGGTACACCTTCAACAGCCGCCCAACCACCTTTTCAACCACAGTATGTCTCTGATTACGTCTTACTCACTTCCATCAGTGCTCTCATCCGTGTCTATGCAGTGAATTTGCATGCATTGTGTGTACCTGTGCATTCCTGACGTGCATGTGTAACATCTCAACTCTGTGTGCTCCCATGCTTGGTGTTTGCGTATAAATTATGCATGCAAACGCCTCTGCATGCAGACGATCACAGGCCTCTCATCAGACAGCGTGCTATTTAAAAGCCCATGAAGTTTAGAGTATAATTCAGATTTAGTGCCAGTGTTATTTCTTGCAGCCATACAGTGTGATTCATTGGCCTCAGCAGTGCCATTTCTGTGTTTAAATTGTCAGTGTGCCAGCCCAGTGTCTTTTGCTGAGTCACTAAGCTCACAGCATGTACAGAAAGAGCCTCAGCTTTACGTTGCTGTAGCAGAAACACACACATGCATCCCTAGCATCTGTATTAGGGATGATCATTTAGCACGGTCCCATCAATAATAACAAACAGAGTAACAGACGTACAGTTCAGCGCTGCCTGAGGAAGAGATTGGTTTTAAAACCTGCGTCTTATTATCAGGTCGCCAAGTCAAAGATATCAAGATATAAGTCCAACAAAAGTGCATTCTACATTTCCCACAATGCAATTTGAGTAGTTTTCTATAAGGAGACAGGTTGTTTTGTGAAATGAGGGATTACAGTTGACTATATATGCACGATTCAGGTGCAATGAAATACAACTGTGATGTCGTTTGTACTCAGATTTAAATGTGGTTGTGTTTTTCCGTTAGACTGTTTTCTAGCCACTCTCTGCACTTCTAGAGAAATTGGTTTTTCTAACCAGCTAAACAAGACCCTGGTTGTATAACAATTGAATTCTTCTTTGAGCTAGTGTGGAGATAATGAAGTAATGCGGAGGCCATTTATTCTTCCATAGCACCGAGAAAATAATGAGACGACGCTGGAGATAATAAAAAGCTCAGACACTCCTCCTGAGTTTGCAACATGTCGATATACTGAGGTAATGAGTTGTAAAGACTAGCAGACCCTGCGACGAAATATCAATGCTATTGATAAGAGTGTGATGAATGGCATGAAGTATGAATTAGGAGGCTGATAAGTGGAGCAGGTGAGAGGCTGTTGGTGTTTGGAGGAGCTGAGGAGTGTGTGGTTTTAAGACGAAGGTTTCCAGGGTCAGAGATGTTAAAGTACACACTTCCTTTACTCCAGTAGAAGTACAGATACTCGTGTTTAACAATACTCTGGTGAAAGTAGAAGTAGTTTTCATTGGTCCCTCTTCTTTAGAGAAGACCAGGAAATGATGGATACACGGATCGTGTTCAAATCAATATATTATAATAATGATCACGCCACCAAACACACATTCAAACTAAAGGAACCAGCCTGTTTGGGAAATGTGAGAAGTAGAAAGTTCAGGTATTTGGGTTCAACATGTAAGAAGTAGAAAGTACAGGTATTTGTGTTCAACATGTAAGAAGTAGAAAGTACAGGTATTTGTGTTCAACATGTAAGAAGTAGAAAGTACAGGTATTTGAGTTCAACATGTAAGAAGTAGAAAGTACAGGTATTTGGGTTCAACATGTAAGAAGTAGAAAGTACAGGTATTTGGGTTCAACATGTAAGAAGTAGAAAGTACAGGTATTTGGGTTCAAAATGTAAGAAGTAGAAAGTACAGGTATTTGAGTTCAACATGTAAGAAGTAGAAAGTACAGGTATTTGGGTTCAAAATGTAAGAAGTAGAAAGTACAGGTATTTGTGTTCAACATGTAAGAAGTAGAAAGTACAGGTATTTGAGTTCAACATGTAAGAAGTAGAAAGTACAGGTATTTGGGTTCAAAATGTAAGAAGTAGAAAGTACAGGTATTTGGGTTCAACATGTAAGAAGTAGAAAGTACAGGTATTTGGGTTCAAAATGTAAGAAGTAGAAAGTACAGGTATTTGAGTTCAACATGTAAGAAGTAGAAAGTACAGGTATTTGGGTTCAAAATGTAAGAAGTAGAAAGTACAGGTATTTGTGTTCAACATGTAAGAAGTAGAAAGTACAGGTATTTGAGTTCAACATGTAAGAAGTAGAAAGTACAGGTATTTGAGTTCAACATGTAAGAAGTAGAAAGTACAGGTATTTGAGTTCAACATGTAAGAAGTAGAAAGTACAGGTATTTGAGTTCAACATGTAAGAAGTAGAAAGTACAGGTATTTGAGTTCAACATGTAAGAAGTAGAAAGTACAGGTATTTGTGTTCAACATGTAAGAAGTAGAAAGTACAGGTATTTGTGTTCAAAATGTAAGAAGTAGAAAGTACAGGTATTTGTGTTCAACATGTAAGAAGTAGAAAGTACAGGTATTTGGGTTCAACATGTAAGAAGTAGAAAGTACAGGTATTTGTGTTCAACATGTAAGAAGTAGAAAGTTCAGGTATTTGGGTTCAAAGTGTAAGAAGTAGAAAGTACAGGTATTTGTGTTCAACATGTAAGAAGTAGAAAGTACAGGTATTTGTGTTCAAAATGTGAGAAGTAGAAAGTTCAGGTATTTGAGTTCAACATGTGAGAAGTAGAAAGTACAGGTATTTGAGTTCAACATGTGAGAAGTAGAAAGTACAGGTATTTGAGTTCAACATGTGAGAAGTAGAAAGTACAGGTATTTGAGTTCAACATGTAAGAAGTCAAAGTAAAAAGTCGTCAGAAAAATAAGTAGTGGAGTAAAGTACTGATACCAGAAACATGTATTTAAGTACAGTAACAAAGTATTTGTACTCCACTACTTCCCACCTCTGTCCAGGGTCATAGAGGATCTTCTCCGCCCGTTTTCTCACCTCTCTGTGATGTTGAAACGTAGCAGGCAGCAGCCCGAGGGTTTAACTTTGAGGAGGATGCAAGGCTGTCTTTCTATTATGAATCTGTCGAGTTGTGCCAGGATCACTCGGGGCACGTTGGGCTTTATAATTGCCTCGGGGGGAAGTTGAAAAGGGGTTCGAAGCGGCAACCTTGACTTCAAAAGTCTGTCTTCTTCTACAGTTTCTGTGTTACCTAGAAGTTCTTCACTGAGTGTCTTCAGCAGGTGAAACTGACAGAAATCGTTCACCTTTTAATGTAAGAAAAACCCAATTAAAGTTCGAAAATTCAACAAATAAATATATTTGTTACTTTAAAGTCATTGGAAGTTTTACAGTCTTTCATTTTGAATCTTTTCCCAACTTTTATCCGAATTATCTCCAGGCGTTTTCTTCATATCCTCTGCTGGTGATAGTCACAGTTTATCCCACCCCAGCCTGTCAGTCAGTGATCAGGGAGGAGATTTGCGCCTGCCAGACAACACCTGAGGGAGGCAAACACACGTTCATTCCAACTTAAATACAGAAAGAAACTTTAATTATACGACTAGTTCTGTACTGATATTTAAAAGCCCCAATTTAAACCAATTTCTAGCCCCAAATTGACCTAAATCCAATTAATTCTGTGCATAAAATGACGATTTCTTCCTGGTTTATGTTAAGGTTGTGCAGGAGAGCTTTGTGCCGACGTCAGAGAACAGTTTTCCGTTTACTCATTGGTTAAATTCGAGGCTCGCTGACAGTCTGCACACTCTGATGGATCACAGCAGGAAATATAAAACAGAATACCAGATTAAAGTTAAGGCTCCTGTATCCTGCAGTGCTCGGAAAGATGAAAAACATTTCTACAACGGCACCAAACACGACCAAAATACATACTTTTAGATGCTATTTTATTTTGACACTTGTCAGTTTATACCGAGGCGCTGGATCGTTCACTTTCCCCTGACAATGTTTGGGTGTGAAATGAAATGAAAGAAACTCAGTGGGCTAAAACTCAAGCACAGACGCCGCAGGAATTCAACATGAAACAAGCCCCCAGAATGCATCTGTCTGAAAACACTTCATCCCCATTAATGTTTCAAATATAAATCTTTGGTAAAGTAAGAAAGAAAGGGGTTCATAGCTATCAAACAGGCGGTCTCTTAGAGCAGTTCTCTTCATAATTATCCATTCATTCTACACATTTTGGACTATTCTTTTGATGCTTTTACACGTCATATGACATTAATACATGAAACATTTAGTTTTGGGGCTGCAGAAAATGAAGTGAAAGGCGCCGTGATGTAATTAAAAGTGATGGATTGTAAGTACTTTGGTCAGTCATCCATGATTAGATGCCCTACTGTGATTAAGGCTTTGTGCTACATTGCATTTTATTATGCAAGCGGGAGCATTTTTCCCCCTCATTGTCACGCGAGTAAATAAAAATGTTGTGTACACAAATCATTACAGGGATGGAGACACTCTTGCAAACTTCTTTTGACAGTTTGTGTTATTGACATGCGGAGGGCTCTTTAAGTTGAGATTGTGAAGCAGCATGCTGAGGACTCTGACGTTTAATTAAGAGTGATTTTGAAGTCTTAACTTTGCTCATTGTCTGGAGGAGATAAAAGGCTTTGGAGGGCGCACACCTGACTTTGCTAATGTACAAACAAAAGCATCTTATTTGGCCTTGGAGAAAAGTGTCCACACACTCTTCCCACACAGCCTTTCTTAAGGTCAGGTAACGCAGATCCCCGTGTGAACGTGTCAGTTTAGCGGCTCCCTCAGTAACACTTCCACTCGTTGTATTAAAAACTAATGTGAAAGTGGAGCTTAAGAGAAAACAAACAGCACGGCAGCGTAGTGTTTCTCAGAGGCTTTCATTCGTCCTCCGTACAGTAGATGGCCTTGTGCTTAATTAGTTCTGCAGAGGGAACAACGAGTCGCTCCTGCTGTGCTTTGGTGTCACTTTGAAGCTTACAGATTGCAAACTCACATCTGCAATGCACACTCTGATATCTCTCCCTACGTGAGAGGAACACAGCTGCATCGCTATCAAAGAGGCTCGCCGAGACCCTGTGGCATTTCTGTTTGCTTTGTGTCCCAAACTGTGTTTTAAATGCACTTTCCCAGGGAGCACAGGTGGCAAAAGTAACACATCCTTTGCTCAAGTAGAAGTACAGATACTCGTATTTAAAAATACTCTGGTGAAAGTAGAAGTACTGACTAAACTTATTTACTCAAGTCAAAGTAAAGAGGGCTTTGAAATGTACTTAAGTAAAAAAGTACCCATAACTAGCAGCTGTTTTAAAGAGTACCTGACCTCCCTTTATATTAATAGAACAATAATGTCATTGTTAGCTAATGAATGTGAGTGAGTGAGTGAGTGCGTGCGTGCGTGCGTGCGTGCGTGCGTGCGTGCGTGCGTGCGTGTACAAGCAAGACCTTCCTTATGAACCAAAGTCAGAGATACATCCCGTGGTGAAAATGAAAGAAGCAGATAGTGAGATATCCTGGCTTGTTGTCCATCGTTTTGGTCAAGTTCCAATATATCAGACAAAATAAAGACCTTGTTGAACATTAAAGCAAGTAAGCATGTCACAGTAGAGGCTCCACATAGAAAAAGTCAGCGCTCACCAAATCCATGATCTCCTGACTCTTTAGTTATTCACCATGTTTGGTTTGCCTCTGGGAATCAGCATCAGATATGAGACAGTATCACTGGAGTGTGACCGGCATCATGCAGAGAGTACAGCCCGAGGAACAACAGAAACATACAGGACAGAAAACTGTTCAAGGTTAACTCTCTAGGAGAAGCTAACGGGAAGAAAATATATTGTTTTTATTGATCGTTGCGTTTCCAAGACGACTCTAGCATGTGGGGATTACAGTAGATATTTCCTTCTCGCTCCATAGCGTTACATGCCTTAAAGGACAAAGATCGATTATCATAGAGACAGTTAAAAACATGTGATTTGAACAGCTGCCTGTAGAGATAACATTTCATTTATCCCTATATATGGTTTGTTTTCCCTTTCCTCTCGTGGGTCATTTAGGTTTGTGTGCATGTCAATGGTCTCCAAAGTTCAGATTGAGGAAAATAAAGACCTTTTGCACATTAGAGATAAGATAAGAAGGGGGAAAAATGTACTTTGAGTGTAGAAAACACAGAGGATCGAACATCTCCTCATGATTTAAAATAAAGGGAATCTGTTCAGTGACACAGTGAGTAAAGAACCATGTGTTCAGGTCACTAGCGTTCCTTCCCCAGTGTTTTCAAAGACCAACTCTACATGTTGGATCAGTGAATGCTTTGCTGGCTACTTCCCATATGTTGGGAGAAGCTTCCCCATGTGAACATAAGTCCAATCTGCGTTTGCATGGAGCTAATGGGACATGAAATTGGCTCCAACACCCACCAATCGACCAATGGGAGCCCCCTCTGGCCTTTTTGCAATATTTGGGCTGAGACGCATGCAGAGCGACTGCTTTACATTCAGGAGCACATCTAGTGACGTAAAGTGCCTTTAAAATGGACTATACACTGTTAATGCAATACAAATCTGCATTAACTGACAATATGGCAATAAAAAGCCTTTAAAGGTCCCATGTCATTTCTACTGATCATAGTTCCATTGTTGAGGTCTACTAGAATAGATTGACATTGTTCAATGTTCCAAACTCACATTGGTTTCTCAGACAGCATCTCTGTATAGTATGTGTGTTCACTCTCTGTCCTACACGGCTTGTTGGAGCTCCTGCCCCCCCCTCCCTGTGAGCCCAGTGGCCGTCTGCGAGACAGCGAAACCCAGCCCGAACACACACACACACCCGCAGCCTCGCCGCGTCCCGCCGTCTCAGGGAGGAGAAATCGGCTGAGAAAAGATTGTGTGTGTGTGTGTGTGTGTGTGTGTGTGTGTGTGTGTGTGTGTGTGTGTGTGTGTGTGTGTGTGTGTGTGTGTGTGTGTGTGTGTGTGTGTGTGTGTGTGTGTGTGTGTGTGTGTGTGTGTGTGTGTGTGTGTGTGTGTGTGTGTGTGTGTGTGTGTGTGTGTGTGTGTGTGTGTGTGTGTGTGTGTGTGTGTGTGTGTGTGTGTGTGTGTGTGTGTGTGTGTGTGTGTGTGTGTGTGTGGAAGTAACGTAACGGCTCCACGGATTGGTCCATTTGGGTATGGGCACGTCACTGTACCCAGGAAGAAAAAGAGAAATGTCCAACGAGGCGTTCAGGGGCAGCATAGACAGGTCTTCTCTGTGTTAGAGCTTTACTCGCTACAGGGTGTACTTTGAGGGTTTGTGACTCTGCAGACCGTTCACATGCAGAAGCTTCATAACACACAAGGGGACGGGTGATAACCGGAAAAGCATGACATGGGACCTTTAAGTAGAGGAATAATGAGGATATAAAGACGTTATTGAACGAGTAAAGATACGATACTATCTGATTCTTATTAACTATTGGATTAAATGTCAATAAAGATTATTTTTAAGCTGAAATCCAAATTCTACTTAATGAATAATATAAAAGCCATCCAAAGACATTTCATATCATATATTCAGTTGCTCGGTTTTGCAGTTTGTGCCTGAAAAAAAACCTTGAAAATGCAAATGATTTCCAGTTTAATGTCTGATAAGGGGGGACGGTGCAGAACGCGGTGTCAAAATGCAGCGATGGATGGATGTTTTATGTGCAAGGTGAGGATCCTGAATGATTAACAGGAGTTTGAACCAAATAGGAACCCAGGAAATGAGCATCGCTGAGCTACAGTTTGCTAATACCAGCACAGATCATCCTGACCCGATGCCTTGTTCCAGTTGTCTTGATGGAGCTGTAAAACCCACGTTGAACATGAGGGACAGCGAGGCTTCCTCATTGATTTCCCTTATTAAACTCCAATCCCACGAGATGCAGCGAAGAAGAAAGGATTTAGAAAGCTTTGATGTGTAAAAAAAAAACCGGCAGCTCGATATTTTTCCTCATATTTTGCACTTTCACTGTTTATTGTTGTCTGGGTCTTTTGTTGTTTAGGCGTGGGAGCAACTTTCTGCTGAGGGACAAATTGCCTCGAGACGTCCCTCGCTGTAAATTCAACTCTATTTTCCAAAATGAAACGACAAAAGATAGACAGCTGTTCATTTCACACGGGTCAAGGCACGGTTCATATTCCTACAATGAATATGTCTCTGTTGGGATGTCAATAAGGAGGGTTAGGTGGGACGAAATGTGCTATAAAATGGATTTGTAGACACACAAAGGCATTAAATATTACGACATAGCATGCAAAGAACGAGCCACCTGTGATAGCATGTAAGGAGGATTATCCATTTTTAAATGTCTTAAAACAGTACGATTTGAATATTAATTTGGGTCTTCACATACCTTGTATAAAGCCCCTATTTAAGTCCCATTATGTCACTGCATTATTCTCAGTTTGCATTAAGATAAGGTGTTTTTTTCTGTATCGTATGGTTTTTTTGATGCAGATAAAAGCTCTCACACATCACATCGATGGAAACGCATTTATCTTGTTTCCACATGATCAGAAAGACAAAGCCGTTACGTCCCTCTGATGAAATACTTGACACTAAACTCATGGAGGAAGAGAGGAGAGGGAGGCTGTCGGCCAATCAAACGGCTGCTGCTTTATGACACTCCACCGTATATTCTATCTCGCTTTTTTTTCTCTACCTTGAAATGACTCAAATCAAAAGCAAATGGGAGGTGTGCCAGCGCTGAGAGGATGTTATTCAGGTCTACTGTATGTTGGCAGAGAAATGAGAGCACAGCAAAAGTGAGCAGAGAGGACGGAGAAGACACCCATGATGCTCTGAATGAGTCTTTTTGATCAAATGTCACACTGAGAGCATGAAATCACTAAATGTGTTTGCAGGTAACTTCTAAAATACGTCCCGTTCCCTCTGGTGATTTAATATTGCACTTTCATTACGTTTGAACTGAAAATGAAAGATATCCTGACTTGTTGTCCATCGTATTGGTCAAGATCCAATATATCAGACTAACATTGAACATTAAAGCAAGTATACATGTCACAGTGGAGGCACAACATAGACATATGGACCTGGAAATGAGCTTAAGAGGTCCTTTTTAGGGAAAAGGACTGTGGTTTTGCTCTAATATCGACAGAAAACAAGTCTTATCTGGTGCTAAAAGTCAGCAAATCCATGTTCTTTCCGTAGAGAATCCTGCAAAATCAAGTGAGATTTATCCACGGGGTGTCCAGCTATCCAGGTCACATGGAGCATGAGAAACGTGTATTTCTGAATGCCTGTGCAGCCTTGCGTAGGCTTTTTATATTTAATATCCCTGCTGCCTTTTCACTTCAATTAAATGCAGCTTTATTAATCCCAAAGGGTGCACACAGAGGTCTGAAAGGTGATTACTGGCTGTCTCTAAAGTGGAGAGTACACATTATGTGGAGAACACCATTATATGTGCCTGCTTCATACAAAGACATCCCATAGGTGGTCACTGCAGTCCATTCACATTCATTGTAAATGTGCTTTGTAATTGCAGTAGTGATGCATGGGTCGTGTGGATTTTGAATTCATTTCTCTTTCTTTCTCCCCACAGGAAACTACCGCTGAAGGAAGAAAATGGAAAAGAGTCTCTCAAGCCGGATATGATTGAAATCAAAGTGCACGGTGACAACTTCATCCACACAAAGCTCGACGACAGCAAAGCGTAAAAAGAGGGGGTGGCGACCAAAAGAACATTCGGATCACAAGACCAAAACCCAGAGAAAAAAGTGGAGTAAAACACCATATCTGTTTATAACAATGCCCCAGTGACAGGCATGTGTAAATACAAATAATAGGGAGAAAATAGCGAGGAAGGGTCAACCTTTTTAGACACCCTGAGTGATAAATGTATCATGTTCTTAAAAAACATGGCGAAGGCTGTCAATGATTGTATTTTGTTGGTATCATAAGTACGTTTTGTTTTACAGCCCATATAAGACTACCATAAGTAAATTATGCATCCCTCTTTATGACTTCTTACACAATGCTCCTGCTTTTTAGTTTTCTCACAGCGAGTGCATTGTTCGACCCTCACCGCGGGATTATTATTATTATTATTTAATCGCCTGTTTCCATGCCTGAGTGTTAGACTACAGCAGCCTTTGTATGCCTTGTGATAGCCCGGCAATGTGTGCGGCAAACGCTGAGGCATTGTGTTTCCAGCTAGCTAAAATGGGGTTTGATTGGTTCAGGTAAATGTTACAGGAGGCATTTGTTCCTCTACATTTCAAACAGGACCTAGGGGGTTAATTATTATGATGAATTTGGTCTTTATATTTCAGGAATAATGCTTTCTGAAGGGCTAAGAGCACACTGTTAGCAAAGCCTTTTATATTGACACTGGATGTTTTGTTCATGTTCAAACAGCGTTGAAAGTATCCTGGCGTCATGTAATAGTTGCTGGGTGAATGTTAAGGCATGGGAACAAACGAGAAAAAGGTCTGCTGACGAGAAATACATCGACATGTTGATTTTTTATATTGATTTCTTTATTCATTCCTGTCTCAGATCTGCCTCCATTTTTGAGAAAAATACTTTTGGTTGTCGGTCTGATCCGCTACTCTCTCTGATGTTGTCATGTGTTGTACATAGGTGGAAAAAAAAGAATATTTTACAGAGCTTTTATGTAAATATACCCTAAATGATGTGTCTTTTTTCAAAATGCAACAGGTATGGCTTTTTTTGTGAACGCCCCTCAGATGAAAAAGCTGTTTTATTGTTTATTTTCTTCCTCTGTTGTGCTTTTGGTCAGAAGTTCAGTGATGGTATAATATTGCTTTTTCAAGTCATTTGCTTTCCATGTCCTAAGGCTATTTCAATGGAGACAGTAATTACGGCATTAGTGTGCCTTCTCTATTTTCGTTTCCCCCCCCCCCCCTTCGTGGCCCAATGCCTCTTCAAATGAGTTTTTCATCGTGCTGCTTTGTCACCACAGAATGTGTCAGAAGATTGCATTTTATTGTGGTGCTGTGAATTCTGGGAAATGTAGTCTTAGGATTGTGGATTGTAGTTGACGACACTGGACTGAAACGGACGAGGTTAACTACCTAGGACGTGTGTGTGTGTGTGTGTGTGTGGGGTGTGTGTGTGTGTGTGTGTGTGTGTGTGTGTGTAGTGTGTGTGTGTGTGTGTGTGTGTGTGTGTGTGTGTGTGTGTGTGTGTGTGTGTGTGTGTGTGTGTGTGTGTGTGTGTGTGTGTGTGTGTGTGTGTGTGTGTGTGTGTGTGTGTGTGTGTGTGTGTGTGTGTGTGTGTGTGTGTGTGTGTGTACATGAATCAGGTTGCATGTATGTCTGTTGAATGTATCTACACGTACAGTAAGTCATCTCTCTGAGTGTGTGCACATTAAGATTTTTCAGAATAAAGAGTTTCCCGTCATAAGCTAAATTAAAGAATCAATACCTTGCTATTCTGGACGTTATGTTGTTCTAATGTATTCCTTGTTTTATTATGTATTTATTTTAGTGTATTATGGAGTACACTCTTTGTTTTCCATGCATCGTGCAAGTCGTACAAGATGCAATGACCAAGTTTCAGAGCGTGCACAGATCGGTAAAACTAGATGATGTAGTTCTCGACAGTGATTCATTCCCCTCACACTCACTGCTTTTTATCTCAGACCTCATAGGCTTTCTTGTACCTGCATATCTCAAAAAGACGGTCGTACCATGGAGAGGTTCGCTGCCTGTTACGATGACTGTAAATATGGGAGCACAGTGCCTGGAGGCTATACGATTTGTACATGTTCTTTTGTATTTGAATATGAGTCTTAAAAAAAAACCCTCTCTCATCCTCCGTCTCCTCCTCCATGGTCCTTTTTCTGTAGGGGGTAAAACAGGTGTGTTTGAGCTCAGTGTACAGTGTGTGTCCCCGTCCCCCCCCCCCCCCCCCCCCCTCTCCCTGCTGAGTGTGCTTTGTGCAGGAAGTGGGAACTATTGATGTCTCTCTGTACGTACCTGTGGAACACTTGTGACTCCTGTCATTGGCCGCTGTAAATAAACATGTCCTGGTAGAAGAGAGTGACACGTTGCTGTGTGTTGTTTGATTTCTTTTACTGGCTCTCCAGCTCATGTAAAAGTATTTGTGTGCTCCCATCAAAGGTAATAACGTTCCCTAAAAATGTGTCTTATTTATTTTATTCAAAAGCACTCCCATTTTTCAAGATGATCCTTGAGACGCGATTGAAGTCACTTTTCTTACTGAGCGTGAGATAGAATGATCGCAATCTCATGCCTGTACAGTAAAGCAAAGTTAGCTTAGCATAAGGACTGGGTTAGCCTGATGCTAATCTGTTATTAGGGAACAAATAATGCTTCTATTGTCTTATTAAGAGCATGAGGTAGTGTTTAACTATTGCCTCTTGTGGCCAGTATTAGCATAAGTGCATCACGTCTAGAAATAAGTCAAGAGCGTACGTCATAAGTGTGACTGACGGAAAAAACTGAGGTAGAGATGAGGTAGATAGAGTAGAAACGAGCATTGAATGAAATACTTCAAATGAGGTAATGTGACCACTACGGGGAGGAAAGATACTGATACTTACCGTGTGAACATTTAATTGAAATCCTCTGTATTGTAGGCCTTGCTGCAGAAGTATGCTTCTCCACAAAGACACAACTTAAGTATCTTTTCATTTGTTCACCATTGAAATCGACAGTGCTATTTCCATCCAGGTCATTCCTAAAGCTCCCGTTTCCAATGCTAACGGCGTAGCATCTAAATCTGTCCTCCCTTTCCTTGAAACAGTGGAAGTGCTTTAATGATAAAAAGCAGAGAGACGGAGAAGCTCTGCTCAAAGGAGGAATTAAAACAATTGTGAATAGCATGAGGGAGCCCCAGTGTTCCCTAACAAAGCGGCGCCCTCTCTGCTCTCATTTAAAGACAGCAGATAACGTTTTCTCAGACGCCTCCATCCCACGAGAGGGAAAGCAGCGGGCCTCTGTTAACAAGGGGAACAAACTTTAACTCGGTCTCCCACCGGGGCTCAAAGTGAGTCTGCACATCAAACACAGAGTCTCATTTGGAAGAAGAGATGCAGAGAGGAGGGTATCGGCTCCTCTGGGAGGTGGGGATGAGTCGAACAATCGCAGTGAAGCTGATTTAGCATTGCTATCTTATTTATAGTTATAATGAAATATTATGAATGGTTTGTATATTATGTTTTATGTATTATTGTTTAGATTGATGCCGACTATCAATGGTTTTTTATGATGACGTCACATAGGCGTGGTGTTGGTGGATGAGAAAATGTACCCAAGATATACGCCGTATGGCTTGGAATCTTGTTTAATTACTTGTTAGACGCTTTTATCCGAACCGACTTACATACTCAATACTGTGGGCAACCCCCCCCCCCGGAGCAATTTGGGGTGAAGTGTCTGAGGGACACAACGACATGCTGACTGCAGTGGGGTTTGAACCTGTGACCCCCTGATCCCAACACCAACGCACAACTCCACTACGCCACACGCCTTTAAGAGTTTAGAGTTTTGTTTAGTATTTTGTCAGTTTTTCTTTAAATAAACGGCGATATCTGATCATCAATGTGGATGCGCGTTGATTTTTCTGACCGCTCATAACAGACGCCATCCCACAGTTTGTCACGTTAGACTGCACTGGAAAAAATGCTCACACACACACACACACACACACACACACACACACACACACACACATACACACGTCAGCAAACAGTGTGTTTTGGAGTATTGAAGTCTCGTGGGAAGATAAGCCTTCAGGTAATATTCCTCCTCTAATCTTTCCGTTTGCAGAAGCCTCCCGTGATACTGTTCCCTGACAGCACCTTCATCCAAACTACAAGAAGAAGTTTGGGAAGAGGCCTCCCTGCCATTGTGGAAGTTTCCATGCATGCACTTTAATGACTCCTTGCTTGCAGAATTCCTAAGTGAGACGCCCACTAAAATACGTTTTTTAAAACCTTTGCCTACAAGCAAGGCAGCGGAGCGTCTTCCAACTCAAACCTCATGAGCAAATCCAGCTGAGAGCTTTTTTGGAAAGCTTCCACTTCCTTAATCTGCTGATTTCAGACTCTCCCAGCAGGTGTGTGTGTGTGTGTGTGTGTGTGTGTGTGTGTGTGTGTGTGTGTGTGTGTGTGTGTGTGTGTGTGTGTGTGTGTGTGTGTGTGTGTGAATTGTAGTTGCACTTATTCTCAGATTCAAATACAATAAATGAATCACGACAGAAAAGTATTGTGAAAGTTTGTACCTGAGTTGCACTTCTCACCACGTCCAGCTGAGTTGAAAAGCTTCACCAGAGTTCCATATTACTTTATTTTTCAGAGTGTGGTGTTTTCGTGGGAAATTAACAAAGGTCTGGCAACCAAAAAAAAACACAGCGCCATATCGGCACTAGTCTTCCAATCCTCCACAGGGTCCCTTTAAGATGGAGGATCATGAGATTTCACTCCCCGTTCTGCTTCAATCCCTGCACAGAAACACACACATGGTGTCCTTGTGTGCACTCTTAAAATCGAAATAGGATTTATTTGATGGATACAGATCTGCCCTTAAATTACCCACCATTTCTGATAGGTAGGTTGTACATCAGGGGTGTCCAAACTACGGCCCGGGGGCCAAATGCGGCCCGCGGACCATTTTGAATCAGCATAATTTACTTACATTTGATTGATTTGGCCGACTTATAACTTAACTTATGAAGCAATATGTCTCACCTCTAGTGAGTGGCCCAGCCCTTTTCTGTATGTGGCCCTCGGTGAAAAAGGTTTGGACACCCCTGTTGTACATTAAGCTATATATATTGCATGAATCTGAATATTTTGCAGGCTGTATGCATGCTAATGTTTAAAGTAGATGCTAAAAGCAGAGCAGCTCCATCAAGATTAGCCAGCAGAGGAGTTGAAGCGTGCCTCAAAGTGACTTTTCAGCAGTTTCCTGTCAGTACTTCTATCATTAAGATTTTAGTTCAGCAAAAGAAGCATCACTTAGCATTTCAGCCTCACGTCCTGGTTCATTTGGAGCTACAGCTGAATGTGCCATAACGCTCCTCCTGCTTTCACATCTGTCAAACTCAATATAACCTTATTAACCGGCAGGAGAGGAGAGGCTGGCCGAGCATCCTTAATATAATCAAGAAGTAGCTGACTGATGTTTTATAAATCAGTGTCACACGCTTCTTAAATTGGCTTTCAGGGGGAACACAGCGCTGAACAACATGGAGCAGACACATAAATAAATTCAAATTCAAAAGATTCAACGGTTTTATAGTCATATGCACATACTGTGAAATGTAATGAAATGATTCTGCTCCTCCAACAATGCAACATATATAATAAAATACAAATATAATACAAATAGATAGATAGATAGATAGATAGATGGATAGATGGATGGACGGATGGACAGACAGACAGACAGACAGACAGACAGACACACACACAGACAGATAGGTAGATATGTAGATAGGTAGATAGATAGATAGATAGACAGACAGACAGATAGGTAGATAGGTAGATAGATGGATAGATAGACAGACGGACGGACGGACGGACGGACAGACAGATAGACAGATAGGTAGACAGACAGACAGACAGACAGACAGACAGACAGACACACACACACAGACAGACAGATAGGTAGATAGGTAGATATGTAGATAGATAGATAGATAGATAGATAGATAGGTAGATAGGTAGATAGACGGATAGACGGACGGACGGACAGACAGACAGACAGACAGATAGGTAGATAGGTAGATAGGTAGATAGATAGGTAGATAGATAGATAGATAGATAGATAGATAGATAGATAGATAGACAGACAGACAGACAGATAGGTAGATAGGTAGATAGGTGGATAGATAGATAGATAGATAGATAGATAGATAGATAGATAGATAGATAGATAGACAGACAGACAGACAGATAGGTAGATAGGTAGATAGGTGGATAGATGGATAGATAGACAGACGGACGGACGGACAGACAGATAGACAGATAGGTAGACAGACAGATAGACAGACAGACGGACAGATGGACAGACAGAAAGACGGACAAACAGATGAATGTTTATCGAGGCGCTTAACAGAGCTCAGGTGTTTAGCTGTGGAATTCAACGAAACGCCTCTATTTTTATTATTAACAGCAACTAAACATGAAGCGATGAAGCAGCTCATGCTGTCTCTGAACTCTGGAGGGACCTGAGACACGTTTCAGATGAAAAATGAGCACTTTCTGTCAAGGACACACCGGGAGGTTTCTCCAAGGGGATCGGCCTAAATGACTTCAGCTTGTAACTCTTTCAAGGTGATGCAGTGCCAGAGGAACGCATGAGGTGTCTTTTGATATTCACAGATAAATACATTAGGCTGTGAATCTTGAAGAAGTCACGTCCGCTGGTCACTTTATCTGTGTGCTGTGATTCAGGATTCTTTCATTACAAAGCTCACAGCTACAGGAGAGTAATTGAGTCGGTGCATGTTCAGCTGAGCTGTGAAATACCTTTTTGTGCCGGATGAAAGGACACTTCCTCGTGCAATAAAGACGTTTCATTTCTTTGCTCGCTGGAACCAAATCACAATAAATGGATTTATGCCAGCAATTAAGTAATACACAGTTATATATCTAAATAATTCATCGCCGGGCTATTATTTCTCACCTGAATGCAGCCTGTGATGTATGTTCAATTCAGATTTCACTGCAGGTATGCTTCGTCAGGAATACAGATTACCTCCCCTTTCAGAGGAAAAGAGAATATTTACTACCCATTTTAATAATACTACTTATCTATGGGGTTTCTCCTCTTTCCTCCACATCAAATGAAGTGAGTAAAGTAGAGAAAAGGCCTGCCGCTGGCTGAGTTTAAAGTTAAGATTCCCCCTCGGATACTCCTTCACAGCGAGGCATTATCAAATAATGATGCTTAGTTTAATGTTTTCTAAATGTTGTAACTACTTTGCTTTTGAAGAAGCAGTTGTGGGAAACATATTGAGTAACAAGAGTTGGATACACATTTGCATAATTAAAACAGAACCAACATGGCTTGGCTTTGTTTGGGCTACTGTACTGTTTGACAGCTTGAAACTGGAGTATTTTTCATGCTTATTTATGTAGAAATACATCAGTGTAGAGTCCAGGAAATGGTAGTTAATTACGTTGATAAGTTTCGAATATGTTGAGGGACTGTTGCAAGAACCAAGCAGCTCATAAACCGAGTTGGAAACAAGAAGAAGATGTTTACAAAAGTGAAAATAAATGCCACTTAACAAACTGTATCTATTGCTTTCCTGAGATGATGTTGATATGAAACTATGATTATGTAAAGTAATGACATTTGCTGTTTCTGCAAAAGAGAGGGGGGAGTCAGCTTTGAAGTCTGTGTGTGTGTGTGTGTGTGTGTGTGTGTGTGTGTGTGTGTGTGTGTGTGTGTGTGTGTGTGTGTGTGTGTGTGTGTGTGTGTGTGTGTGTGTGTGTGTGTGTGTGTGTGTGTGTGTGTGTGTGTGTGTTGTGGGCATGGTCTTCCACTTCTTGATTGCTAAAATGGATGGATAGATAGATAGATAGATAGATAGATAGATAGATAGATAGATAGATAGATAGATAGATAGATGGATAGATGTTCAGACTTTATAATGCAATAATTAAAATACTTTAAAAAGTGGTAAAAGAGAACTAACAACTCAAATTCAAATAAAAAAATGAAAAATATTATATCAAATATAAAAAATATAAACAAAACAATATCAAATATTCTGGATAATTAAAATAAAAAGTAAAAAATACAACAGGATCCAAAATACTACACGTCTTTAAATGACCCTGACATCCTGTTACAACAGGAAGTCCCGCCCATTCCAGGAAGCATGCTCCTTTTGACAAGCTGCTCCAGTGTGACTTCAAAACAAACCATCTTTCAGGTAAACTATGTTAAATATATATATTTGACCATCTTAATATGCCTTGTGCAACCTTAACTATGACCCTAGGTGTTTAGCTTGCTATCTTAAAGAGAGCTAGTTGATAAAAAGACAGTATTTGTTGCAGACAGTTTATTTAACATTCATTCAAAACATGAGATGAGATGGACTGTCTTTAATGTGAAAGACAGTTTCACACTTGTTTGAACATTAAATAAGCCACACAGCTTGATTAAAGATGGCTAATATCAGCTCATCAGTGCTTTTTAGGATTAATGAGCAGAGAAAACGTTAAAAGTTATTTTTCTCAGACTAAACGGCCTCGATAATTGATGATTACGCTTAGTGACAGTGTTTGGAGATAATCCGATGTACTCAGATTTGATAAAAGGAAAGACATTATTAATTATATTCAAAATGTCTGCTAGGAGAAGCCTGCCATCTCCAGATAGCAGAGAAATCCTCCCTGACTGCAGACAGCAGGATGCATGCAAGCAGCCAAAGGTATGACTTTGTATTTAATACAACTAACATCATGTCAAATCTCTTCCAATGTGGGATTTGGAGACATATCCATTGTGTTTGTGGTCAGATATATTCCTGTTTAGATAGATAGATGGATAGATAGATGGATGGATGGATGGATGGATGGATGGATGGATGGATTTGGAGACATATCCATTGTGTTTCATGGGTGTTGTCGGTGTATATCAAAACATTTCAGCAACTGATGGATTTATTTGTGGATGTAGACACTGGACGTTCAGCTATTGGTTGTGAACTAAAGGTTTGAAGCCTTGTATGTATGTGGTCTTGCAGGTGATGAACATAATATATGATACTTCAGTTTTGCATCCCCATCCGCCTCTGCTGTACTTTGTGATTAGGGATATTTGGCAAATGTTAACCGTCTTATATTAGCCTTTAGCCTTTAGCTCCTGCCTAAAGTACCAACTATGAGACGTTTGACTTACCTGAGGGCTTAAAAGAAGATATAGAATACCTATCGAGGATCAATTGTAATAACTTAAAGCACATTCTGCAATCTTTATTCCCCCGTGTCTCATATCAAATCTTTCCCATCACATTCAGACACCACCCAGCGAGCAAACCAGTTAACTCTCCTCCATCTTCTGGGGATTGTAGTTGAATGTAAAGAATCAGAAGCACACAAAAGAAGTCCTCTGCTTAAGTTGTTCAATTTACATTTAGGTTTTATACATTATTACTATCATAAGTGACAGTGTGTGAGAAGGGGTTTAGTATTTTTTGCTGAAGAACACTTCACACCCGGCCGATGTCGGGGGATTTGACGTGTGAGCATTCAATTATGATGCTATCTGTCGTAGCGCTAAGCCGTCCAGCTAAGCACACATTTCGGCCACATATCAGCCGAACATGTGTCCCTTAAAGCCTATATATATTATTACATTTGCAGAAAAGCACCATGCATAACTGAGCAGAGCCTAAGGATAACATTCCCACCGATAATTGAGTCCATGGCAGGGTAAATGTCAAGCTATTTGCGAGCCATTTGTGAGCCGTGGTATTCTTCTCTATCAGCCTAATGTGCATCTCGGCTTTTTGCAAATTCATATTGGATTTTTATTAAAACTCAAAGCAACAGTAATAGTTGTGCCTCTGGGATAGCTTTAAAAATCAATTGGCTAAACACCACACAATTACCCCCATAATTGTCTCCTTGGACCGCATTAGCTATCCAAGGTGATTCTCGTTGCAGTGGGAGTCAACTTTGCCTCCTCGAACAAGATGTCCCCCGCTTTCTGACTCTGCAGCCATGTGCTCATTACTCTAACAACCCAAAAAAACCACACACATGGGATCCTGTGCTCACGGCTGACAGGAGAATCACCTCCAGATCCTCCCGTCAAACGGCCCTGCGGCGATTTTCTGCTGCTAATGAAGTGGAATATTCTAGCATATGAATCCAAAATAGAGCCGTATATATTTGGACATTTGTGAATATGAATACAATCAGCTAGACTTGGCTCGTTAATGAGCAACAGGGAGAGCCACCAGCAGACAGGATTCATTAATTACAGAGTGACATTTAGGGATAATAACCTTCTGGTGGATATCACAGCTAATGAATATGCATAAGACTTTCAAAGGGGATGCATGCAGCCAAGAAGAAGTATCTATATTCAGATCGGTGATAGGACGACTGCCGCGATTTCTGAATCAGCACGTCATGATTTTTAAAAAAATGTGATGATGCAACGAGACTGCTTTTGTGGAAAGGGAACAAGGTGAGCCTTTGCATGTTGTGGATAGTCTGTAGATGCAGGTGTACAAAGAGCTTATTGTAAATGTGGTTATCTAGTTTGACAGTAGTGGATTAGTTTTAGATGAATGCATGAAATGATGTTCAAGGTGGAAAGAAAAGATGAGAGAAGTGCAGCGAGATTAAAGGGCTCGTGCAATTATCTCCTGACTCTCTGTGTCTTAGATCTTGACTTAATGTGTCATGTAGTTTGATGATAGGAGGATAATAACTCTAATTTTGGTTAATTTTGAACAATAATGGCAATACGTGAGCAGGACTGTTTATAAGGCAGAGTTCCAGTAAGAGGCTTTTTGTAATAATGCCCAAAATTCAGATATGTCCTAACTCAATAACCCCAATAATAACACACCACTGAATTTGCATTACATAAACGTAGCCGGCCAATCAGGACGAGCCTACCCAAAAACACTTAAGCTAATAGAACTAGGGTTGCAAAAGGGAACCATTGTTATCCGTAAAGAGCATCTCGATTGAATTAAGAAACATTTAATGTATACAATATTAAATCATCAATCTGTCTTTCTGTCATAAATCTGACTCTTGGCTTTATCGTTTGCTGTCCATTTTTAAAGCAAAAAACAAATGTTTAATGTCTGATAAAGTTAGAAGTACATAATAGGAGAAAACTACCACATGTTTTGTAACTTTTGATCCAAGTTCTAATCACTTTAAAGGTTGAATTTGTTGCATAAACCAGAGCGCAGCTAATGCATCTGTGCCAGGATACGGCAAATAATGAAGAGGCAACACGTTGTCAGTGCAGCAAATTCTAGATAAGACCATAACAGTGTAAGTTAGTTATTAGGAGCAAGAGGCTACTGTTTCCCGCCCGTCAGACACTTCCTGCAGCACTGGTCTTAATTGAATTCCCTGACTGCACATTAATGTGATACCCAGCAGGTCAAACTCATTAAGAAGTCATAATCAATAGGATTACACAATATGACGGTGTTAAAGAACAAGTAAAAAGCCCCGTTTAAGAATAATCATTTTGAAGGTCGGCTTAATTAATGTTCCTGCCTCATCACGGTCTTTTGACCTTATTGTCCAGACGTGCAAAGATGACTGGACGTTGGATTTAAAGATAGAAAGGTTTGAGTATGCACACCAATGACCTTCCTCAAATGATGATTGATACCTCCCCCCTTATCTCATTGTCCCTGTATCAATCACTTACAGGGAATAATATGAAAAGATGTTCATTGCTCTTTGAGTCGGATAGAGGTTAAACAGAGTGTCTGAAACCAAAAACATATTTCTTGCTTTTCAGTGTAACCTGAAACCAGAACAATGTGAGTTAGTTGTTTATTTCACTAAGTGTGTAGGAATTTCACAGATAATCCATGGCGACAAATCCACTCAAAGTGTCCTGAAAGTTTCCTGAGAATTGGCTCAGGATGAAACCCAATATAAAAGCCAACTCTCTATGAATAACACTTGTGAAAGAATAGGGTCAGCTTCTTGCTTGTGGATCCTTTGCAGTGGGAGATTGGATCATTTCTTCAAAGGGGAAAAAGCTCCCAGTTCTTTGAGAGATGTAGGAATTGGAAGTCGGCGGTAACTTCCTGTGAAGGTTCAGGGATATTTTGATGTGAAGATCAAGGAGTCTGTGGGCAGCTTCTCCCCTCTTCATCCTCCTCAGGAAGATCTCTCTATTGCTACGACATCTCGGTGTAGAAAGAAGACGTCTTGCGGGTTATTTGTTCTAAGAAATTGCTCACGAGGCTTCATGGGCACCTTCGTAAAGAGGACCATGCATACAAATACATTCATCTCAGAAAAGAGAAGAGATGAATTATGCCAGATTTTAGCTACATAACAATCAACAAAACACGACAAACATTGCATCATCTCTCTCACACAAACAATTATAAAACATGATTTAAGCACAGGTCAATCAAATAATGCATAGTACAGTTTAAATATAATATTACAAGACAGTTACAATTGGAAAAACTCAGATTACATTGATGTCGTACAGATTTTTTAATATGCAAAGATTGGCAAATGTAGTTTATTGGAAACAAATGGTCCAATAGAGATTGTCTTTGAACAAAATGAAGCTCCAGTCTGGCATGAATGTTGAAATATCTTTTTGTATTTCAGTCAAAGGAAACTTTAAATGATTGGAGAGCCAACAAAGGCTCATTTGTCCTTGGCTCTGAAATGATAACACTTTTTTAATTCCCTCAATTTAGTTAATAATAATAATAATAATAATAAACTCTGTGCTGTTGTCATAATGGTGATAATGTGCACACAGTTGCAGATAAATATGAAACTATTTGTAAATAACATCCAGCGGTGTCTGCGTAGGATTGTTTCTGACTCATTGAAGCCAAACTAGAAGCTCCGAATGTAAGAAAAACAACTTCCCATTTCACGGTGCTGCGCTCACAAGCAGAAATAACAACTTCTTGTGTGTCCGCTGCTCATTTCGAGTCCTCTGACACCACGCTAACAATCACAAATGGCAATCGAACTCGACGCAGATTTTACGTGACCTCTTATCGGACGTGTTATTGCTGTTGATTCTGCCTCATTATCCCATCAGCAACACAACTTGTGCTCTAATATTATGTAATTATAGAGCCAGCCCAAGTGACATTTATTATGTATTATTAACATATCTGTGCCATTTGGGGGCTGTCACTCAGTCTTGTCGTCTTACAATACATATTTATTTCGTCCTACACACCCCCTCCTGATTCTACACCTACTTCCTGTCCGGCTGCACGGTGGAAAGATGAAGCCTGTCACCTTTTAGTGTGCACTGAAGGTGAAATGACATTTGAGCAGCGTGCCAAATGTGAGTGCGGTCTCCACTCATGCGCCGCTGTCAGGACTGATCACTGTTATTGCAGCTGCTTTTTCAAAGAGAGCTTTCCAGTCTTTTCCCCTCTCTCGCTGCGTTGAGGTAGTCGAAGCCTCGCTTTTGGAAAATCTGATTAGAGAGGCAGTAATAGCAGGCTGTGTGGGAGAAAGCCAGAGATGGTTGAAGTACACACATCCTTTACTCAAGTAGAAGTACAGAACTTTGAAATGTACTTCAGTAAAAAGTACCCATAACTAGCAGCTGTTTTAAAGAGTACCTGACCTCCCTTTATATTAATAGAACAATAATGTCATTGTTAGCTAATGAATGTTTCCATGCTGAACAACGGCAACATGACAACGTTTTCATTGGTCCCTCTTC